CTGGATTGAGCCCCAGGAACCAGCACCTGGAGGGGGCATGTGGGGCGGGGCGGGCAGGCCAGCTCATCCTCGGCCCACTCCTGGAATGCCCAGGTTCAGGCTGATCTGCCAGCTCAGGTTTCACCTCGCCAAGCTGTTTTTTGTCCCCTTTCGCATCCCCTGCACCCTCCAGGGGCACCCGGAGACACTGTACCGCCAGGAGCACCACGGGCTCCGCCGCGTCTGGGTCAGGCCCGAGAGGAGCCACGGCCAGCGGTGGAGGGTGTGCAGGCGGCGGAGAGCCGGGCTGCCCGCAGCGATCTAGGCCAGCGTCCGGTTCCCATGACACGCTCACTGGCAGCGTTAATAACTAACCGCGGCCCAGACAGGTGCTGGCGGCCCGGCCTCGGAGTTCTTGCTTAGGGTTGAAAGTGAGTCACTTCCCTGTTACAGTTTGCTGCAGGCTGAGTCACCACGGGGAGGCCGGCCCTCTCACACCCGCTGGTTCGCACAGATGACAGTCACGTCCCTGCCTCCGACCACCCAGTTTCCAGGTCAGCTGGGCCCAGAGGAACCGACCCTCACGGTGTAGACCCAACGGCACCCCGGGTACCCCCGTGACCCAGCCTCTGCCTCTCCCCCTAACTACCCCCTCCTTCAACTGAGACAGTGAGTCACTGTCCCAAGAAGAATCGGGAGAGATGTGAGAAGGGGGAAAGGGGGAGAAGGAGATGGAAAGAGGGTGAGAGAGAGAGAGAGAGAGAGAGAGAGAGCGTGCAGCTGTGTCACCTTTTAAATTTACCCTAAAGAAACAGAGCTCTCACACCTTCCCAACCCCCTGTTTGGACACAAAGACTAGAAGTGGAAAGTTCGTTCACTGATGAGCCAAAGGACACAACTGTGGGGCAATAGTCCACTTCATCACTCCAGGGAAGGACGGAAGCTGACGGGGTAAACTGAGTCCCATGCTTCCCTACTCCCGGTGTCAGGTGAGAGGCAGGACTGGCCACCAGGCCAGACGATGCCCTTGGTAGCCCTGGGGCACAGCTCTCAGGATGAGTCCCTCCGACAGGTGAACATCACCTGGGAACAGAGGCTCCTGGCCCCCTGGGGGACCCTTCCTTCCTCCCTCACT